TTTATATATATGTGTGTATGTACTTATGTATAGTAATAGTATGCATATAGAGGAGGGCAGGAAATTGAGAGAGAGTAAAGAGGACATGGAAAGAGTTGGATTGGGGAATTGGAGGAGTTGATATACTGCAAATACAGTATTCATGTATAAAATTTTCCAAAAATATTTAAAAATATTATGCAAACAAATGTTTACACCATCTTTACATGTAAGAGCTGCAACCTTTAGTAGACAGGTGAATAAAAAATCAGTGTAAAATACTTACCAAGTGATGAAAACATGTGGACTCCAGCAATAATATGAATGAACCCCCAATAATGAGAGTAGAATAAAATCCAAAAAGGCTGTAAAATGATACAACATTGTTAAGAAGACAACATCATGGACATGGAGACTAGAAAACTGATTGCTCACTATTAAAGGTGTGGCCATGATGAGATGGCAATAGTGGCTGTAAGGGGACTGCTAAAGACCTTTTCAGTAGTAGTTGAAGTGTCCTAATCTAAATTCTATCAATACCAATATCATTGGCCCAAGGTCTAATGCACTGGAAGTTTAGTCCTCAGTTTGACAATGTTGAGAGATGTTGGCACTTGTAAGAGACAGGGCCTACAAGGCAGCCAACCAGTTACTGGGTGTCTCCACTCTCTGAAGGAATTACAATTTTTTAATTTAATAACCACATGATTAGAAGAAGCATTTTATTACAGCGTTATCATATTCAGTAACAATTTCCACAGCAAAGATACATCTCTTTCAAAAGTGGCTGTAAATTTTTAGGATCACAGTTGAACTGATACTGATATAGAATATTGAAATCAGTATAAACACTTTAATGGGACCCTGGTCAAGCATACATGAGGATTATTGTCAGAAAGAAATACTATCCCTTCTGCTCTCTGTCCTATGGCCTGTCTCACCATCCATGTGATCTCTCACACATGCTCCTGACATGATGGCATTTTCCATGTTGTGGCATAGGTGACATAGCCAAGGTGGTGCTGCCTAGAGGCCAAACTGATAGGGATGACACCATTTATGCTTTTTTAGCCTTAAAAAGAACGAGAAACAGAAAATGGTCCAGAATATCTGCTTAAGATATGATACTAGGGTTTGAGGATCTAGGTGACTATTGATCTGAACCCATATACATATTAATAGGATCTCTCTCTACCTTACAACTGCTTGTGAACCTAATATTACATCAAAAAAATTAGGACAGTAAAAGGATAGAAGGAAATGAAGGAAAGACACTTGCCACTTTGTCAGTTATGGCATGAGCCTTAGAACCCTGACATCACGGTTCCCATGAGGACTGCTGGATTCTCACACTTAAGTGGTTGGTTTGCCAACTGATGTAGCCATATTTAGTATGTAATGCCAAGGAAAAAGACAACTTCAGTCCACCCAGACTCATCATTCAAGGCTTCACTGGAAAGCAGGAAAAGCATTTCTCCTAAGATGGAAGCCCTCATTGAGAAAACCTCATGATTAGAGGACATGCATCAAACTCTGCTGCTCCAAGGCCCTGCGGAACTGAGAAGAGGCTGGAGAAGGAAGCGGGGACGTCTCTTCTTGTTCAATGATACTTTGGTTTTGTCTAGTAACCCATACTTGGGACTCATCAGAGAATAACACAGGAGCCCTGCCCTCCTGGAACTTACAGTCTATCATTTTCCACTTCACCTACAATACTGCTTGTTTCCTTGGTCAAGTCACTGCACCTTTCTGTACCTGTCACAGCTGTCCAGGGGAGGAACAAGGAGCCTGGCCTCAGTGGCAACCAAGCCTGGTATACTGTAGATGTTGAGCTAGACATCTGTCCCAACCCAACACCCAGACAGCAGAGAGGGCTGAAGTTGATTTTCAATAATAAAGTACATGGGAAGAAGGGAGAGGGAGCTGAGCTGCACTGGCTGGTGGCTACATGAACTTACTGCTTGGTGGCCACTTTGTTGGAAGGTCTGTGGCCTTCCCTGTGGCAGCCAGTGCTGTGTCCTTAGCGTTCTCTTTGGCCTCTTCAGCTGTCTCAACAAGTGTTTCAGAAGGGGCCTCACCTTGTAGCTTGGCCAAGGTGTACTCAAAGCCCTTCATTGTCTTGGTTACATTGCTTTTGAGTCGGACAAGACCAA